TTTAAAATAGAGTTTAATATGTTTGAATCTCGATGTCACGATATATTACGAAGTCTAATTAATATTGTCATTAGATTCTCGAAATTCATATATTTATCCCAAAAATGATCTATTAATGAATTTTGAAATGTACTGTGAGTATCTTCATCTTTGATTTGTCTATGACGAGTAAGAAATTCTTGGAAGCGATGAATTTCATCTCAATTTTAAATAATCATGGTTGTTACATTTTAAAACTTCTTTTCTTTGAATTCATTCCTTAATTATTATTAATTACATGATTAAAATTTATTACAAACGTACCTAATAATAATAATAATAATAATAATTTATCGTATAACAAAAAAGGACACAAATACCTTAACAAATATTTGATGCAAAATGAAAAAGAAGGCAAAAAGGACATTAACCATTTTGTTGCAAAATAATGCAAATGAATAGAGTTGGGTTGCAAATAAATAGTGTTGGGTTGGAATTGTCTGTACAAAATTTTTGTGGCAAAATGGTAAAATATAGTGTTTTGATGCAACGGTTGAAATTGCCTCAAGTAAAACAGGGAGTTTTGTCTATTCCTATTATTCTTTCTATATTTCCTCGACCAATGATTATATTTTATTAGAACTAAATTTTTTCTTCATGAGTAATATTTTAAATAAATTCATTTACTATACACAATGAAGTTATTCTCAATACAAAACTGAAGGCGCATGATTTTATCTTAAATTTTTTTTTGAAATAATAAATGAAGTAATTAATTTAAAATAACAACATGATTTGCACATTATAATTCGAACAAAAATAATAAATTTAGTGAGGCAAATAACAGTCTGTTTGAAATGAATTTATAAATGATTTAATTTAAAAATAAATAGAAATAAAATGATGAATAAGTGAATAATACATATAAGTTTTGTGAAATATATGGTCAAAAATAAAATTTAATCAATTTATAAATGATTTATAAAGGGAGTTATTATGTAGATCCACCATTTTTATATATACATACATTTTAAAAATGATAATTATATTGTATTTTAAATCCTTCTAAATTTTTTCACGAATATTTCTTTTCATTAAATTCTATTGGATCTTTTTAGAAATTGTGTTTAACTAAAACCCTAATAATCATGAAATATTCTATTCGACTAAAATAAAAAAAAATGAGCAGATTTCTAAGTGTTAGCACTAATCATTAATTACATGCTTAAATTCTGTATCAAATTTGACATGGCATAAACTAACGACCCGCAACGGAGAAGATGCAAAGTAAAGCAAGATCAAGGAACAAAATTTGAAAATGGAAAAGGAGAAAAGAACAGATAAATAGAGGGAGGTAACTACTTTGGAGGACAGAGATAAAAAAGGGAATATATGGAAAAGTAAAAACGGATGATGCAAAGAACTTGTTACTTTTCCTTAATTCATGACAATTAACATACTAATGGCAATCCCAAATGGATAAATCTGCTTGTACAGTCCACCTCGAACTGTACAAGCTTACATCCCATCACAGCTCGCCAATTTTTCGTCATTTTTTATTGAGTGTGGACCCTCCGAACTGTGAGGAGAGTGTCAACCGAGCTGTCAAACTAATTGTTTGTGCAGCTCGGTTGATCCCAAATAGAGTCAGACAGAATAAACATTATTTTATGATTTAGAATAATGTCTAAAGAGGAGAAAAGAAAGAAACTCATACGGCACCACCAGCTATCGGAGTCGGACCAACTGATTTAGAAAGAGACATAGCAACATATTCAAGGGAGTCCTAGGTTAGCCACATGAGCTACAATTTACATACGTTTTGTGATATATAAGAGCTAATCTATGATTTTTGGTTTGATATTTGATTGCAGTCGTGATATCCGTGACAAAGGAGGGTGTGAAATTATCGACAATAGGTTACATTGGGATTGCAAACGTTGTTTGTCGTCAAAATATAGCGAGGGATGAATATTGTAATTTTTTAAAATTTTGAAATTATATTAGGGATGTATTTAAAGTGTGATGAATAATGAATTTAATAAGGACAATATTAGAATGTGACGTGGATGAAAATAATATTTTTTTTCAAAATTTTAATATTTTTATAAGGATAGATATTGAATGGGGTGAATATATAAAAATCATAGATGTAAATAAGGGCCCCAAGTTATAACAATCAAAATGATAAACATGGTTTGGTGTATTAATAAAGAAAAAAAAGATACTTGGATCATTTGGGCCTTATATAATGGGCTTCAAAGTATGAAACCCATATTCTTCCTGTTTAAGTAGTTTGGGCTTCAAATGGCATAGTAAATCAATTAACATTTTTATTTTTGATAATGGGAAAATTTCATAAGTACGAGATTAATTATGACATATTTCAAAATTAAGAAAACAGATTTCAAACTTCAAAAATCAGATTTTTATTAAAATTTATTTATGATTTAATTAATTAATTTATTATATTTATATCACATATCTATACAATTTGATCACAAATGAACAATTTAATTAGTCACTTATTATTTTTTGGTCACAAATTAGAAATTTTATGTTACAAATTATTTTACGATCATAATTCAAAAATTTTGTAGGTCACAGTTTGTTCATCAATTATAAATAAAAAATTAATTAGTTACGGATTAATTTTTAGTCATGACTTATCAAATTATTGGTCACAACTTATTTTTTGGTCACAAATCAAAATTTTATAGGTCATATATTATTTTTTGATCATGAATAATTTTTTTATAAATCACGGATCACAAATATTATATATCACAACTTATTAGACAGTCATAACTTATTAATTTTTTAGGTTATATATTATTTCTTGGTCACAATTTATCATTTTCATTGATCACATATTTTTTATTGGTCACAAATTAACCAATTCACTGGTTACAATCAACCAAACAATTTGTGACAATCACTAACACTTACGACCACCACTTCAACATTACCTCCAATAGCACCACCACCACCGTCACCGCCAAAACCACCGCCACATTGGTCACAAATTAACCAGTTTATTGGTCACAACTTTCAGTCAACCAATAAAATCATCACATACACCCACACCACACCCCATCCCGCCACCAACCACCAGCGACACCGCCCACCGCCGCCGCCACCACCACCACCACTGTCAACATCACCATCACTACATCACCAATAGCACCCACGCCCCATGCCACCACTCCAAAGCACCGCACCACCGCCAACGACCATATCGTGTCACCAATGTCATTCCCACACACAAATCACCCACCACAAAAACCACCACTGTCGACCACCGCTAAGTAGATCGAATAAAAAACAAAAATTGTAGATTCGGGCACCCACCATCGCAAGATCTACCAAAAAATAAAAAAACTGTAAAATCTACCAACAAAACTGCCAACACCCCACAATCACCATCGCCTCACTACCGTCATCGCCACTTCTAACACCAAATAAAATCGCCGCCACCAACAACAAACAAAATCACCAAACGCCTCTACCAAATTTGTCGAATCTGAGCATCGCTGCCAAGCACCACTTACAACATTGCTAATCGCAACGAACGACGTTTCATAACTACGGGTGTCGCAAAGCGCCTCTATGTGCGATTTTATTGGAGATAACAACGCTGCTTGGTGGTGGCTTTGGCAGTCGGAGAGGGAAATGGTGGAAATATGGAGAGGATAGAGAAAAAGGGTAGAAGAAAGTAAGAGGAGAGTCGTAAGAAGGTTGGATCGTCGCCGGAGAAAAGAGCGAGTGATGGAGAGGGAGACGAGCAAGGGAGAGGGAAGAGATGGGTCACTGGTAGTGAGGACTGGATAGTGGATAGGGTTTTTATTTTTTTGGTATTTAGTTTATTTAAATAATTAATAAAAAATCTTGTTTTTGAAATATCATTTAGGAATTTTGAATAATTAAAGTATGATTTTGCGTAATTTCCACTTTGATAATTATATTCACAAAATAATTTTTATTTGTTGTGCAATATTTTCATTATACTTAAGGTTCTCAATATTTTCCATTGTAATAACTACGTTCCTAACTTTTTTATCGTGGCGGGGTTCATGTTCACCTTTCAACCTTTACAGGCTAAAAGCTTGACATACCTCACATGTTAGCATTTAAGGCAATATTGCAAGTTTCCAAAGCAAAGTTTCTATCCACATACTATTTTTGAATAATGCTCTGAGTACAAGACACTATTCATACTGGCCTCTCCCTGTTGAAGGTAGGTCGACGGGTCCGACCAGCATTAAAAACAAAAAAGATTCGCACGGACCCTGCTCTAAGTCTGTCCTGACAGAGGCTCACTCGAAGCTGGATTGTACTTTTTTTTTTACAAAATTTCCTGTACAATTTTGACGGGAAATCGTAGCTATTTAATCCAATAAATGCAGAAAGGTGAATGATCAGCCACCTTTTAATGGGTCAGTTCATTGCCACGTGGTTCCATTCCATCTTTCATCAATTGATTAAGAAAATAGATATTTTAAGCGAAAAAAAATAAATAAATTCAAACTTTGCTGTAAAATTGAACTATTGAAGCTTTACATGTGTACGTAGAATTTAACTATCAACTCGAACAAATATCATTATCTAATGAGCTGTAAATTTCAAGATCTATATAGTAAATAAGCGCCTCTACTAACACGAGTGAGGTTGCAGAAGTGGACCTCAATCCAATAGAAGAACAATTGCGTAAAAAAAGAAACTTTCGAGCGAGCGCATTCAATTCTAAAGTCGTTTCATAAACGATTTCTTGTTCAGCTACTGAAAGATAGAGATGAGGCATTGTAATTGAGTCAAGATAAATTGAAAGTAGAAAATGATATGATTGATCGATAATTGAAAACATTGCGACGTTAGTCAAAATTCAATTTTGGCTATTGGAAATAATGGGAAATAAATAAGAATTAGGCTTTGTTTGTCTACCATTTTTTCATATTCTACCACATTATTTTTTAGTACTCATTTTCAACCACACATTTTTCATTAAAATAATGTTACACGTACATAAAATTTTTTTCGTTCTTTTTCAATTACACATTTCAATATCAATCACTATTTCATAATACATTACTCACAAATAATGAGGCACAAACAAGCACTTATAATGAAGTTCATAACACTTCCCGAATAGCATTCATTATAAATAATGGCGAATGAAATTATTAGACTGGGACTAAACAGTAAAAATTGCTTAATGTGAGGGCCTAGAACAAAAAATAAAAAATAAAACCATTCTAAAATAAATCCAGACTTTCATCAAATACGCATTCCTTCCATTGGTCATCAAGTAGCAGATTTTCCAGAGTTGACAAATGGGTCGGACCCAGTGCAGTCGGGTCAAGTTTGCTTTCCCCATGGAGAAAACCAGCTTCAGGAGAACCGGTTCCGGAAAATTCAATTTCAGAGTTTGAAGAATCAAATGATGCGGATCCAAACCAGAATAGTGATTCAGATAACGTATTTCCACTTTTTCTCTCGGTGCATGGACTAGGAATGGATTCACGAGCGCTGCAATCGACTGAATTTTGAGTAATTGAAGATTTTGGTCTATTTATCGCCCATTGTTTAAGTAATCTGGCAATATTTTCAGTGCTGGACGCATATGTAAATTCTTTTCCAGATTTTGTATCAGGCGGTTTGAATTCTGGGATTAATTCAGTGAAATTGCTTGTATTTTGATATGATAATGCATCATGGAGTGCTTGTTTTGCCATGTTGATATCTGTTTGTAGCTTCATTTCCCATTGACCTCTCGTAATTGAGTGAGCTTCGAAGTTTGAAGATGGAAGATTTTTTACCTTCTTCTTCAAATGTGTATTCCAATAGTTTTTTATGTCATTATCTGTTCGTTCCGGGAGATAAGAAGCTATGGAAGCCCATCTGCAATTAGATTCACACTCTTTTAGCCATTGTTGTTGGACTGATGCTACTTGTGCATATTAGTTTATATATAGATGAGGAGGGTGGAGAAGTAAGTTTTTTATTTTATTTTTGTTTTTATTAATAAAATTTGGTCGAAGAAATTCTGACATAATCATATCTTACTATATCACGTGTATGTAAACCTATTATTATATACATGCAGCACAATCAACAGATTTAGGGCTTCTGAAAATGCAAAAATTGTTTCTGACATTAATAAGCTATTATTGAATATATTCAGATAATTTTTTGAAAAGTGTTTTGTCCAACTAGAAGACTTTTAAAGAAAGCTAACTTTAAGGTTTCATTTAGCATGACTTTTACTTTTACTTTATGTAGAAAAACTTTTGAAAGAAGTTATTTTAATTTTTATATGAAAATTACTTTTTAAAAGAGTTTTTTATTTCATAAGTACTTTTAGATGAAATTACATTGAATCAATTTCTTTTAAAAGTTATTTTGACTAGAAGCTTTTCATAAAATTAGTCAAACAGGTCTAAAAGCAACTTTTGATTGCCAAAAGCTTTTTTTGACTTTTCAAAAGCCATATCAAATGAGCACTTAGCTTCCTCGAAAAATTATTTTACAAAAAACAGAAGTAATAATAGAAGCTCTATCAAGCGATACGTATAACGATGAGAGGGGATGAGAATATACTTGTTGCCCAAAAGAGCTTGAAGCTGAATGATAATCTTCTCTTCATGTACAGTGAAATTCCCCCTTTTGATCCCTGGCCGAAGATAATTAGCCCATCTTAGCCTGCAACTCTTACTGCATCTACGCAAACCTGAAAAAACGAACATCGATCACTTGACACCGTCTAGCTAACTAATTAACATTGTTTTTCAGAAAATCGAGGAAATTGTATAACCTGCATTTGTAGGTACAGCCCTCCAATTTCCAGGACCATGTTCTTTAACATAAGACACCAATTTTATGTCTTCTTCAGGAGTCCACGGCCCTTTCTTCACACCAACTTTATCATAACAAGGTGGTCTGCCCATATCTACTTCTCCTTTGTACTTTTGCTCAAAACGTCCAGGTCAAAATATTTATATATATGGCTGAGATTGGAATTAGTGGTGATGGTCTGGGATTGTTTGATCTTCATATATAGAGAATGAATTGAAGAGACAATAATTGACCTAGAGGAAATTATGTAAAAGTTGACAGCAAAATTAATGCTTTTCTCAGCCATGGACTCACTAAAGTCAGCTCCATCTGTCTTTTGCCTCAGCAAAACCGCGTTTCATTCAATGTGCTTTGCCTCTTGTATATTGAAAACCCTAATTTAGGCTTACTATAGTATTCTTTACATCTGTTTTATTTTTATTATTATTTTCTAATATCTATATCTATTCTATCCATTTTATTATAAAGCTCACACTTGGTAAGATAATGCAATTTAACTTCAAGAATAAGATTGCTTAATAATATTTCTTCTGACACTTTGCTCTTGTCCATTGCCCTTTCCACACGCACAGTATTTTTCGACATTTGACTAACTTGAACGTCAGAGAGTCCATGACTGTCTTCTCAACCGTCAGAGAAGTTCAGGTGCTCCTAACATTTTTCCAAGTATGCAAGAACTTAACAAGTTGACACGAATGAATTTGGGATCTCTTGACCATGTGTTCCTGTCCGATTCCTAAGTTAACTCGTATGTTTCATGTCCTTGTTCTTTGTATTCAAATGTATATGAGCAAACTTTATAAATCAGATTCCATTTTGAAAAAATCGTTTGTTATCTTCAATTCCCTCTAAAGTTGTTAAGAGTTCCAGCACAAAAAATAAAATAATAATAATAATATTTAGATGAAAAAAGAAAAAAAAATTGAAATTTGAAATCCAAAAAGAAATTCGATATTCTTCATGTAAAGTGCAACAAACAATAACTTTAGTCACAATTAGAATTAAAAAGTCAAGACTCTGTGGTCAGGAGATGGAGGCTGATCAGAGCAAGAAATGGCTAATAAATAGTCTCACGTTGCATTTTTCTCTTCAAAAATTCAGCATGTGAGAGCAATAAATGGGAAATTATGAGATGGGACCATCTACCCTTTTCACTTTTCTTTTTCATCGCACTATACTTATATACCATCTTTATATATAATTACTCCAATTTATAATTAGGAGTATATATCTATAAATTATGAGGTAAGAATTGCTGTAAGATACGTAATAATTATTATATCTATAAATTTGTATGTGTTTTTTTATATTAATTGTTTGTGCAAGATAGTTTGCATTTGTTTATTAATTTTATATGGTTTATATTAGGTGAAATGTATAGAAAATGAAGCATGTTTGGGATGTTCAATTACTATAACCATATCCGATAAGTGTTCCATTTCATGCAACGACGAGCCTATTCACTTCGACTAACGTGAAAAAGCTTTTGGTAATTTGGCCAAGCTGGAAAACTTATGTAGATTCATTGATGCATGTGTTTTATTTAACACTGTTCAATTCATGTTATATATCGAATGTAGCGCTAAGGGGTCTTATTTTTAGATATTTACTTAAAGTCGCATAATATAAACTTTTAATATTACCCAAAATATCCAACAGCTTTTGTGTTTAGATACAATATGTTTACCTTTGACGATTTTCATACTGTCGAGATGAGTATGTATCTCATCAGCCATTATTTCAACTTGTCACAATGGTATTTCAGATGTTCAACTACTACTAAAATTCCACACAATGAGAACAAAATGGGGAGTGTAGGGTTTGCCCCGTTTATTATTGTTATTTTATTTTATTTTTTAAATTTCGAGTTATGCTATTATTAGGGAATAAAATACAAATTCTAAATAGGTTTTTAATGAATGAATTGTTTAGAAATAAAATTATTTTTAATTTTTTTTCTCTTCACGAGGTGGGTTTTTTATGTCATCACTATCCAAAGCCAATTAATCCGCGGAAAAAACTAAAATTCCCGGTGGGCTTAAAGACCCATTTTCTATTAAGCTCACTACCGCTTAGTCCAGAAAATCCACTTTTGCAAAATTAAATTAAAAAAAAAATGTCATTCCACCTAATTGGGCTCCTTGTAAAAAACTATCGATCTGATGTCAATGTTTTTTATGCTACTTTTCTGTAATTAATATTTTTCTTGTACTTTTTTTTTTCTTTGTAAGTTGCTACATGTACACAGCCGTGTGTATAAGGGTGTTCAAAATGGACACCCGGTGCCCCCTATTGGAGGGTGTGCCTAGCCCACCGGCGCCCTTTCCAATAGGGGCCACCGTGTGTTCAAAAATGGACACCCAACAAAAATAATCCTTCGAAATTATATATAAAGATTGGAAAAATAAAACAATAGTTGGTTTAGAGGGGGTCAATCAATTAACAAGCACTAAAAGTAAAAACCATCAATTTATTTAATTGATACGTGTCACAAATATTGGGGGAAGTAATTAAGGGGCATCGTCCTTGTGTCCAAACCTATGAATAATGCTGGGCCTAAAATATACTGTTTGATGTAGCACCGGGTCCGGATCCTGGTCTATTAGAGGTTCAAAAATTTATGTACCACAAATTATTAATTACATTGATATCAGCCTCCTCCGGTCCCCTATCCCTAATACTGTGCAACAATATAATTACAACCAAGAAGAAACAAATAAAAGAAAATAATATGAGAAAAATGAAAATTAGGAACCCACTTTGCCAAAACATTAATTTAGGTGACTATATTTGACAAGTTAAATTAAAAAATAATGCTATTTGCAGTCGTTCACTACAGCAATCGCTCTACGTGACATACACATGACATGTGGTTATTTAATACATTAATGAATAAAAAAATTACCACATTAATGTATCAAATAATCACCTGCCATGTATATGTCACGTAAGACGACTGCGACAGTAAGCGACTACGAATAACATTACTCTAAATTAAATGAGTAATGTAATGCGTGTGTGATAACAAAAGAAATTTATTAAGATTTATGATTTGACAACCTTGAAAATCTAGGATTAAAAATCTTAATCCTCCGAAAACATTGATTTGCAATATTGCACACGTTTTTTAATTAAGCCTTTTAATTATAACAAGATTGTTAAATGGACCAAGTCAAGTTGGCTCGCGACCCACCAATTTATTTTCTTAATTGAAAATTGCACTTTTCACTTCCCCAAAAAAAATATATCACAAACTAAATTGTAAAAAAAAAAAAAAAAATCAACATGAAAAATTATATTTTTTTAAAAGATTAATGAAGTTGTAAAAAATATGAGCCACTTAAGAGTAATTGACGTGCGACTCACACAAGTTTTTTGCTATTCGATAGCAAGAAACACCCCATTTGTCACCCCCAATCATGCACCAAACGTGGTAAACCTACTCAAGAACATTACACATCGCTAATAACTTATGCATGTAGTGAGTGAATAAGATACAAAAGATAAAGGAGGATAAGCAAAATTCATACTATTAATCTTGTTCTAAGCATTTATATTATCTCCATCATCGAGAATAACATGTTAAAAGATTTATTCGAAACAACACAATACATCCTTAACACTCGTTTATTTAGCTAATTACTCTCACGAATAGTTTTCTTTCTTTTTCAATTAAAAATAATTAATTAGGAAATTCGCATATAATAGTGGGACCATTCCATATTCTCCCCCAAAATTTCTCACACTCAATTATCTCGAGTTGACGTACAATTTCATTATAATGTTATAATTACTTATCTGGAAAGAATTGTAAACTTTCGATTTCATTTCATTTTCACCCTTCCGGCAGAACAAATAGACCTCTCAACTGATAATTCTGATAGACTCACCCCGGACCTCTCTGTGATTTTACACGTAAAAATATATATATTATTTGTGCATGGTTTTATGTAATAGAGAAGAGGATACCTAGGCTCTAAGCAATGAGGCTAATTAGCTTTGGTCCGGTCGCTGACAGGTACCTATCTCCCCTTGAAACTCTCCATTTAGGTCGGATTTCAATTTCTTCCGAGTCAGTTTATCATTAATCGATCTGTTTACAGGTGAAAGGTCCAATCCGAGTTTGAAATATTCAAAGAAGCCATAAATTCTTCAACTGCCCTGTTGCCCTGTTCTCTGTTTCTTGCTTCCAACTGAATTTTTTCAGGCCGATAAAAATTAATGGATATGCCCAAAAGGTGTCTGTGTTTGCTCACTTCTTCAGTTTTATGAACATGGGTTCTTCTGTTATTCAGTTCCTGGTCCATAAACTAGTTTCTATTTTACATGCTCTGTTGAGTTTCATCTCCACAGTAATCTTCAGGTACGTATATTTTTAATTTAAGAAGATTCCTTTTCTTAAAGAAATTCTGGGTTTATCTGTTTTACATTCAAATTTTATTTGCTTACAGGCTGCCAAAAGATGGGAGTTCTGTAAAGGGTAATGTAAATTATTACAATGTGAAAGGAAAAAAAAATGTTTCAGAAACAGAGTCTAAATCGGAAAAAGATCCTGCCGAGTTTAGAGGTGTTGAAAATGAGGTTGAGGAAGAGAAATCAGAGGGCTTTCTGAATTTCAAGTTTCCAACTTTTGAAGATTTTGGTAGAAGCAAGAAAGAAACGAGTAATTTATTTAATTCTGAATTGGTTCCTTTTGTAGATGAAGAGGCAATTTTTACAGCGAAGGAAATTAGGAATAAAGACAGATATCAGGATTGTTATGAAAATGATGAAATTATTGTTGATGAGTGTTTGCATGAGAAAACCTCGGAGAAAGTTCATAATGAATCGGCTGATATTCTTGTGGAAGGAAATGAAAATAATGTTGATGAGAGAATTGAATTTTCTGTAGAGGAAGAACGAGTGGTTGAAGAGGAAAACTATTTTGGAAGTGCTCGTGGATTTTTGGATGAAGGCCAATCCCATTTGGAGAAAAATTCCGTGGTTATTGATTCTGATTCTGAATCAACGAGTTTTGAGCACATTCGTGATGTCATGAATAGCTCAGCTTATTCATACAGCGAGGGCTTCCTTTCGGATGGAGAGTTTGATTTTGATGCTTCGATGGATACTGATGGTGAAAAGGAGAATTTGGATTCAGAAGGTGAATTGTCAAATGAACTTGATGGTGAAGACATTGATGTAATGGAAGATCTTAGGAAATTAGGAGAGGATAATTTACAGAATCGAGATAGGTTAACCTCAAATTTTCTGTCTGAGAGCGATTTTATTGTAGATTCAGAGAAGAAAACAATGGAGCAATTTGTGGATAAAAATGGTGCAGATGATTTTGAAAACCAGAAGTCAAAAGATTCATCAAAATCGAACTCTGAGGATGCAAACAAATTAGAGTCATTGTGGGAACATCAAGAATTGATTGAGCAGTTGAAAATGGAACTTAGAAAGGTTAGGGCCACAGGGTTGCCCACCATTTTAGAAGAATCCGAGTCTCCTAAGATGATGGATGACTTGAAACCATGGAAAATTGACGAGAAATTCCAGCTTGAAGATTGCATCGATGAGCTTCACAAATTCTCCAAGTGCTACAGAGAAAGGATGCGAAAATTTGATATCTTGAATTACCAGAAGATGTATGCAATAGGTCAGTCATGTATTCGATTTATTCATCATCTTTCATTTACGACTTTGGAACACTTCTTCGTTCTTTATCTCGATTAAATTTGTAGATAATGATGCTTTTATTCTTTTTGTCTGTATATTAATTATCATATTTTTACTTGTTAAGAACCATAATCCATGGACATGAATGAAGCAACCTACTTTTAATACTTTAGGCGTTGAAGATAGGACCACAGTATCTGTTAGTTGGGTTCTGCAGAAACAGGAATAACATGAACCTTCGCTGGTACGAGGCATTAAAAGCATTTTTCCTAACACTACTAGATAACACGGGACGAGTTTTTAACTTCATACTTTTCTTTCATACAATCCGTGTTATCCAGTCCAACATATTAAATACTATATAAAAACACGGTGGACGACAGAACATACTGAGGTGTGGCTGAGAAGGAGAATTCATAGTTTGTTGCATTAAAATTCTTGTCCAAATGTTATGTTGTCCCATTGAATTCCTTCTTTAAATTCTTTACCAAACTCTCATATTTCCAAGACATAACAGAATTTATCCCAATTTGCAATAACTCTTGAGTTTTTAGGTCAGCTGCTCCTCGAGTCCCTAAAGTTTTTGAACTGTCCTATTGCAATTGTATTCACAGGTTTTTTGCAGCTAAAGGATCCTCTTCAGTCAATTTCAAGGCGCAGACCATCAGTTCCAATGCTCAAATCCCTTTTTCCGTTTAATCTTTCGCTATTCAAGCATGGAAGCCGTGACAGTGATCCAATGCAGAATTTCTTTAAAGAATTGCGCGGTGATCTTGAAGTGGTATATGTTGGACAGATGTGTCTTTCTTGGGAATTCTTACATTGGCAGTATGAAAAGGCCTTAGACTTATGGGATTCCGATCCTCGTGGAATCCATCGCTATAATGAAGTTGCTGGTGAATTTCAGCAGTTTCAAGTGCTCATGCAAAGATTTATTGAAGACGAACCTTTCCAAGGGCCAAGAGTTGAAAACTACATCAAGAGTCGATGTGTCCTTCGAACTCTTCTTCAAGTTCCTGTCATAAAAGGTGAATTTTCATCAAATTCACAACCCGAGTAATCTTACAAGATGAACTATTTCGTCCTCAAAAACTAAAAGCACTGATTTACGTAATTTGGCTACTTGCAGTGGATAGCTTCAGAGACAAAAAGAAGGCAAGAAAGAAAGACAGAGACGAATACATTATCACGACTGACATGCTGGTGGAGATTGTAGAAGAGTCGATACGAATATTTTGGCGATTTGTTCGAGCTGATAGGGGTTGCGCCAGTACAAGTGCAAAGGAAACACCTGTGCTTCACAATCCTGAAGACCTTGAGCTTTTGATGGAAGTCAGAAAGACACTTCAAAAGGTTGCTTCATGAGACTAAATTGATGAATCTTGTTTAAATTATAAACTTTCTAGTAATTTTCTCTTGATAAATGCAGAAAGAGAGAAAGCTCAAAGACATTTTGAGAAGTGAAAACTGTATACTGAGGAGAATCCGACGTTATAGAGATGATGATTCAGACCAAGTGCTCTTTTTTTTCGCTCAAGTCGATGTGAAATTGGTGTCTAGAGTTTTACGTATGTCGAGAATAAGCAAAGACCAGTTGATCTGGTGTCGTAACAAGCTAACTAGAATTAGTCTTTCGAACAGGAAAATAAATGTGCAACCCTCGTTTTTGCTTTTCCCATGTTAATGCTAGTAGTTATTTTCTAATCCTAGCTCGAGAAATCTTATATGGTTCTATCGATCTTGAAATTTTTGTTAGTAGTTTTGTATTTGAATAGAAAATTATCCGTTCATTTTGTCTTGATGTTTCATATTTTTTATTGTTATTCGCTCACTTGATTCTTGATTTCACTCGGCAATTGTACCTATATTTACAAGTATGAAACAAGATTACAATGTTTTATCCTAAAAACCACCCTCAACATATGTCGTCTAATCAAATGATAAAATTCTCATCCTTCAAAATTTACCATTATCTAGTAAGTGGTAATTCAAGTCCAATTTCCGTTTTTATTATTATGATGATGAAAAAAATTCATTTATTCTCTTTTCCTTAATAAAAAAATTCTAAATTTTAAAAGTGTCATTGGAAATGTACTCTGAAAAAGAATGTTTGAAATCTAATATAGAAGGAGGGCAATGGATCGAGCAAGCATTTTTCTTTTTTTTTTTTCTTTTTTTCCTTTTTTTGGTCGTTTTTTAAAATTAATAAAATAAATAAAAAAATTAATCGATTCACGAGCTCAAGACAAGCCGCCACGACTGATGAATCAAAATACTTTCAAGTCCAGCTCTTGCTCGGCCAATAACTTAAATAAGATCTCGAAGCAAATCTAAGCCCATCTTTGACAATTATTATTTGAAAACTCTTTTTTCTCTTTACTCATATTTAACAACACATTCATATAATAAAATATTCTACACCTAAACTCTTTTTTTGTTTTTTTAAGGCACACATCCTCCTAAAAATCACTATTCAAAATAGTATTTTGACCAAATAAGATCATCTCCAATATACTCTCTAGTCTCTATTAAGAGCCTATTATATAATTTAGAGAACATCTATAAGTTTAGAAAGTAAAAATTTTGAAGTAGTCCAACATACACTTTATATCTAACACTAAATTTTACTACTCCCAAAAAATATTTATCATTTTTCTCTATATTTTACTTTAACTAATTTTCTTTAGATTATTTTATTATTTTCTTACATTGAAAATTGAAATTTTTTGAATGCATTTAATTATAAAAGTATTTCCAAGTGACTCTTTAAATATGAGTCAAACGACTCAAACCCACTCTCTTTAATTAAACACACTCAAAGTGTTTCAATTTTCTATATAGGAAAATAATAAAATAATTTAGAGAAATGCTAGTTTAAAAAAAAAAAGATAAAGAAAAATAATAAATATTTTTTGTGAGTAGTAAAATTAAGTGTTAAATATAAAAAGTTTGTTAGAATACTTCAAAATCTTAACTCTATAAATTTATAGATGCTATTTAAATGATAGAATATACTCTTTAAAACTATAGAATCTTGAAGATGCTCTTAAATTTTGAATTTAAATAGTTTTTTGGAGCATTAAAGAATCTATTGTAGATGCTTTAAGGTCATCAAACAAGCCAAATTTTAATTTGTTGAGAATATTTTCAACCACTTCACAAATTGATTTTTCTAAAATTCGTCTAATCTTAATTATGCTATATTCTTGTTAATGTATTGCCAGTCTTTGTGATATATTACTTCTATCATTAGCCATAGATTTCTGCGTGAATTCTCTTCAGGAAAATATAGCTGCACCCTATTGGTAAGACTTTGAGAAGTCAAAAGCTCCTTATGAAATTAGGAAGATGCTTTTGAACCTGTTTAGATAATATTTTGAAAGTATTTTGTGTGGTTAAAAGAGCTTTTAGAAGATAATCCCTAGTCGGAATTACTAGATGGTCTATCTCATGAGCCTGGGAATAATAAAGAAAGAACGACGTGAAGGTAAAGTGAATAAAGAAACTAAATTGATCCTTTGTATTTGTTTTGATTGTGAAATATGTAATGCTTTTTCCAATGTACAAAAATTCATGGAAACAAATGTAAATACTCAAAGAGGACCATTCCTTGCCTATATAAGTGCTATCCATAACTCACAAATGGAACAAGGAAGGCAAAATGCCCCTGCCCCATCCTTGACCTGGGGCACCAACAAAATGGGTGAATCACTCCCCAATTCAAGGCAAGGCAAGGCATGGCATGGCAGGGAAGGGCATTTTTCCATCGCTAGAACAGAAAAGTATTAAATTATGTATCATTTGTACTTTTAAATTGTTTTGCACAACATCCACAGGATATGTCGCGGCAGAATGTATCGTTTCTCCAAAGCACCACATTCACAACTACAACATGAACCATCAGTACATAATCATCATTATTTATTATCCACTCAATTAACTTTTGAGATAAAGATAAGTAGAATGAAATTACAGAGCAATACTCAACCTTTCAACACCCTATAGGTAAGCAAAAATGATAGAGCTATATGGCTATAGATGCCTGGACATAGAAAATAAGAATAGCATGATTAAAACATACAGTGGTGTGCCAAAAGTAAACCAGTCTTTTCAGATATACGCTGCCCGATCATTCCTAAGAATCTACCAAGAGGCATGCATTTAGATCATAAGTTGATGCCAGAAACCACAGTATAAAGACGTGAATAAAAATAATAATAATAATTCTAATATCAAGCTTCAGCTGAAACTAAATTAATCAGTCATATACGAAAAATACACCACGTTCTGTGCACCACATTCACACATCATTTTTGCATACATTCAATAAACATCAATAGCATCAAAACTTATTATTATAAGAACCATAACAAAAGAACATGGATTTACAGAGAGCAGATACCAACTATAGCGAAGACCATCCGTGGTAATAAATACTGACAAAATTTTGGGAGGAGAAATATTCAGTTTTAACCCAGAAAATAATCGTAGTTGATACTTGATGATGTCCAACACCAGGAAGAGAAAACAATGTCATATATCTAATAACCACTTACATGGTACAAAGATGTCGATACCAAAGTTTCATAGGGCTCATTAAGAGTAATCACACCTCCAACTCCAAGCTGCTTCAGCCGAGGCACATCCTTTGGAAATGGAACAGCTCCCAACAAGAGAAACTGCATAAACATAATGAATTCAACATATTAAGAATCCACTCTTCATTAAAACTTATTGTAGAAATGAGAAGCAATCGAACCCTTTTCCTCACATCTATAGCATAGTCCAGCAAACAAGGTTATAGCCAGATTAAGAAGCATATCCAAATATCCACTATAAACTCAACTTGTACTTACTTGCAAGATCCAAAAATAATTCCACAGTATATTAATCCTTTTCAAATTATAGATCAAAAGTGGTAGCTTTGTTAAGACGATATGTTAAATTTACTTGACATCCACATTGGGTGCCACTGAGTTTGACAATGAGGGTGTGTTATATTAATACTAAAAAAAAAGTGTTTTTTTTTTCAAAACATTTCTTCCACAAGCAGTTGTTTGAGTTCAACATATTCAAAGGACAATCTAATTTATGTTAACCTTACCCCTTTCATCTTGAAAGAAATGTGTTTACAAGTTTTCCTTTCTGTGCTTAAAAAAAATAAAATGCATTTACGTTTTTCCACCATCCACTAAATCGCAACTTAGATGAGTGAAATTTGATTCCAGGAAAGTATATCACATGCTAATAGGCTTACTATTCTGCCTTCCATACTATATTGATGTTCTTGCAAACAATTGACACTCACAGAAAACATAAAAAATTAAAAATTCCCCATTAATAAGTGTAGTATAAAAAAGAGTTAATTGTTCCAATGGTCACTAAACTTATGTATATGTTTTCAATTACTCGCTAAAGTTTAAGATGTTGAGTTTTGACCACTAAACTTTGAAAAATGTTGGTTGTTACTAACTAGTATAACATTTGTTTGAAACCTCTTAACGAAATTGGTGACGTGATTAACGGAATGCACATGGAGCACCTCGTCACATCATTAAAACATTGAGATGGTCGAATTTTGATACCTATACTTTGGAAAACGTTTTCAATTGCTCACTAAACTTTTAAAAATGTCTTTCATTGCTCACTAAACTCTAAGGTAGTCACTTTGAAAAATGTCTTCTGTTGCTTACAATAATTTGGATTCAATTAAAATTCGTTGTTAAAATTTGGATTTAATTTAATTCTAACGACAAATCTAACCCTGTTCGAAAGAAATTAAACTTAATTTTTTATCAAACTCAAAGTCAATAATTAATTTTAACCACATATTTCATAGGACCTATGATAAAACTTTAATCTTGATTGTATATTCAATAATGAGTTACAATACAGCAATAATTTTTTACAGAAGAATCATATGCTCTATATATACAAAGATTGCAAAACTATTATAGGAAGGCAATATTGTTTTAGGGAAGCTAGCTAGAATTGTGGCCATGAGATTAGTGACTGATGCAGGGCTTGATTTTTGTGATTGACTGGTTGTTATACCCTTGAATCTCGCCTAATTATCTTTGTTATGATCTGTTGCTTGATTTGTGGCATGATCTTTGATACGCCCCCACAAGATAAGGTTGCCATCCGCAAGTCCAATCGTGGTTCTTAGTTGGTCCGTTTGTTGCTTTGGCAAAGGATTTGTGAGAAGATCTGCAAGCTGATCTTGGGCATTTACATGATGAACTTTCAGCATACCTTTTAGAACTATATCTCTAACAAAATGCAAATCTATTTGAATATGCTTCATCCAGGAATGTTGAACAGGGTTAACGCTGAGTTTCAGCGTTGTACCCAAGTTGCCATAAAGCAATTTTGGTGGGGAAGAAATGTTTAAGCTAAGTTCCTAAAACAACGACAATAATCAAATGGTTTCTGATATTGCAGTTGCTAGAGCTCTATACTTCGCTTCAGTAGATGATTTTGCAATGGCTCGTTGTTTTTTGAGCTCCAGGAGGTCAGATTTTGATCGAGAAAGCATATGCAGGCAGATGTAGAACTTCCATCATCATAGTTCTCGGCCCAATCAACATCGGCATAGGTGGTTATGGTTGAGCTTGAGCCTTTACGTATGTGAATGCCATGATAAATTGTTTATTTCAAGTATCTTAGATTAACTTAGAACCAAGTCACTACTTAGTTCATGGTTTATGATTGAACTTAATTGAGACATTTCTCAACGTCAATCATCTTCAGTGTCTAAGTATCAATTGAAGATTACTCTGTCATTTTGCATCGGTATAGTTGTTTG